CTCCTTTCATACCTGAAAACATATATGGACTGAAAGTATAGGGTGAAAAAAGCTAGAGTAGCAGTACTTGGCATCAGACAAAATAGATTTCAAAACAAAGAAAGTAACAAGAGGCAAAGAAGGACATTACATAATGTAAAAGATACTAGTCCAAAAAGAGGACATAGCCATTATAAATATCTATGCATGCAACATAGGAGCACCAAAATGTGTAAAACAAAATCTAACTGAACTAAAGGGAGAAATAGACTGAAAATCAATCACAGTAGGGGACTTTAACACATTACTTACATCAGTGGGCAGATAAACCAGAAAGAAAATAAATAAGGAAACAGAAGTACTGAACAACCCACTAGATTAGATGGACTTAACAAACATATACAGAACAATCCACCCCAAAGCAGCAGGATACACATTTTTCTCAAGTATACATGGAGCATTCTCCAGAATAAATATTAGGACACAAAAAGAGCCTCAACAAATTGAAAAAACTAAAATTGTATCAATCATCTTTTTTAGATGGCAATGGTATAAAACTAGAAATAAATTACATGAAAAAACAAAATAAACCTGACAAACATATAGAAGCTAAATAACATGCTAATAAATAATTAATGGATCAATGAACAAGCAAAGAAGAAATCAAGTAATAGATGGAGGAGATAGATGAAAACAAAAATACAACAGTTAAAAATATGTGGGATGCCACAAAAGCAGTTCTAAGGTAGAGGTATATAGCAATACAGGTCTACCTCAAGAAACAAGAACAATCTCAAACAGTCTAAACTCACAATTAGAGAAACTAGAAAAAGAACAAAGTTAGTAGCAGAAGGGACATAATAAAGATCAGAGCAGCAATAAATACGAGAAGAAGAAGAAAATCAATGAAACCAAGAGCTGGTTCTTTGAGAAGATAAATAAAATAGACAAACCCTTAGTCAGAAAAAGAGGGGCACAAACAAAATCAGAAACGAAAAAGGAAGAGTTACAACTGACATCATAGAAATACACAGAATTACACGAGAATTCGATGAAAAACTATATGCAAATAAATTGGACAACTTAGAAGAAATGGAAAAATTCCTAGAAAAATACATCTTCCCTAGACTGACCCAGGAAGAAACAGAAAATCTGAACAAATTACCAGAAATGAAATTGAAGTGGTAATCAAAAAACTCCCAACAAACAAAATACAAGGTCCAGATGGCTTCACAGATGAATTCTACCAAATATTTAAAGGAGAGCTAATGCTGATCTGTCTTAAAGTATTCCAAAAAGGAGAAGAGGGATACTTCCAAACACATTCTATGAGGCCAGCATCACTCTAATACCAAAACAAGGCAAAACACTACAAGGAAAACTATAAACCAGGAACTTTGATGAATATAGATACACAAATCTTCAACAAAATATTAGCAAACTGAATTTAAAAATATATCAAGAGGATCATCCACCATGACCAAATGGGATTTATTCCAGGGATGCAAGGACAGCACAATATTTGTAAATCAACCAATGTGATACTGACTGAAAAAGGATAAAAGCCATATGATCTTCTCAGTAGATGCTGAAAAAGCATTTGACAAAACTCAACATCCATTCATGATAAAAACTAAACAAAAATGGGTATAGAGGGAATATACCTCAACATAATAAAGGCCATATATGACAAGCCCACAGCCATTCCCATACTCAATGGCAGAAACCTGAAAGCCTTTCCTCTAAGATCAGGAATAAGGCAAGGATGCCCACTCTCACCACTTTTATTCAACATGGTACCAGAAGTCCTAGCCAAGGCAATCAGACAAGATAAGAGAGATAAAAGGCATCCAAATTAGTAAGGAAGAAGTAAAACTGTCACTATGTACAGATGACATGATACTATATATAAAAAACCCTAAAGACTCCACCAAAAACTATTAGAACTAGTAACTGGATTCAGCAAAGTTGCAGGAAACAAAATTAATACACAGAAATGTTACATTCCTATCTACTTACAACAAACTACCAGAAAGAGAAATTAGGAAAACAATTCCATCAAAAAGAATAAATACCTAGGAATAAGCCTAACCAAGAAGGTGAAATACCTTTACTCTGAAAACCTATAAGACACTCATGAGAGAAATTAAAGAAGACACAAATAAATGAAAATCTCTCCCATGGTCATGGATAGAAAGAATTAAAATTGTCAAAAAAGACCATCCTGCCCAAAGAAATTTACAGATTCAATGCAATCCCTATCAAAATACCAATGGCATTTTTCAAGGACTAGAACAAATAGTTCTAAAATTCATATGGAACCACTAAAGACCCTGAAGAGTCAAAGCAATCCTAAGGAAGAAGAACAAAGCAGGGGATATTATACTCTCCATCTTCAAGTTCTACTCTGAAATTATGGTAATAAAAGCTGGTACTGGCACAAGAACAGACTCATATCTCAATGGAACAGAATAGAGAGCCCAGATATAAACTCATGAACATATGGTCAATTAATATATGATAAAGGAGCAATGGATATAAAATGGGGAAAAGACAGCTTCTTCAGTAACTGTTGTTGGGAAAACTGGGCAGCTATATGCAAGAGAATGAAAGTGGATTACTGTCTAACTCCATATACAAAAGCAAACTCAAAATGGATCAAAGAACTGGATGTAAGACATGAACTCAAAAAACTCAAAAGAAAACATAGACAAAAATCTCTTGAACATAAATATGAGCAATTTTTTCCTGGAAACATCTCCTCAGGCAAAGGAAACAAAATAAGAAATGAACAAGTGGGACTACATCAAACCAAAAAGCTTCTGCACAGCAAAGGACAACATTAGAAGAACAAAAAGGCAACCTACAGTGTGACTGAATATATTGGTAAATGATTTATGGGTAAGGATTTTGGTAAGGATTTAACATACAAAATATATAAAGAACTCATACAATTCACCACCAAAAATTCACATAACCCAATTAAAAAATGGGCAGAGGACCTGAACAGACATTTCTCCAAAGAAGAAATACAGGTGGCCAACAGGCACATAAAAAGATGTTCCACATCACTAATCATCAAGGAAATGCGAATTAAAACAACAATGAGATATCACCTCACACCAGTCAGAATGGCCATTGTCCAAGAGACAAGAAATAACAGGTGTTGGAGAGGATGTGGAGAAATGGGAACACTCCTACACTGTTGGTAGGAATGTAAATTGGCACAACAGCTCTGGAAAGCAGTATGGAGGTTCCTCAAAAAACTTAAAATTGAGATACCACATGACCCAGTAATTCCACTTCTAGAATACCCAAAGAAAATAAAATCCTTGATTCAAAAAGATATATGCACCCCTATGTTTATCACCACATTATAAACAATAGCCAAGATATGGAAGCAACCTATGTGTCCATCAATACATGAATGGATAAAGAAGATATGGTGCATATAAGCAATGGAATATTATTTATCCACATACACACAAAAAAAGAAATCCTGTCATTTGCAACAACGTGGATGGACCTAGAGGGTATTATGCCAAGTGAAATAAGCCAGCAAAGAAAGACAAATACCATATGATTTCATTATTTGTGAAATATAAAAACAAAGCAAAACAAAATGAACAAAATAGCAGTAGACTCAGAAGTAACTGCTTGATACCATGCAGGAGGGATTGGGATGGGTGGGTGGGAAGGTGGGGGATAAAAGGGCTCAAAAAATTTTAATCATAATATAAGCTGGTCGTGGGGATGGTAGTGTCACATGGAAAATATAGCCAACGATCCATAACATCTTTCTATGATGACAGATAGTGACTGCACTAGTTGGGCTGAAGACTTAACGTAACTGTTGAACCACCATGTTGTATATTTGAAAGTAAGATATCAACTATACCTTAATTAAAAAAATATATATATATATGTATAAATTATCTTATAAAAAAATCAAAGGAATATTAGTTGGAAAATATTTTATATACTTCTTGGTATGTCATTTAATTTAAATGACTTAATTTAATTAAATAAAACTGTGAAACACTCAAAAAAATTTTGTTTGATTTGACTGGTTTATATTACATAAAAGAATCAACTGAGAATTGTCTTTTTCATCAAGTCACACTTTTCTTAAGCCTAAAATTTTGCTAAGTAATTATTTGTCTAAAAAATATCTAACATAGTAAGGGCAACCAGAAAAACAAGTAAAATATTTTGGCTCATAGTGAATATCAGAGAATACTGATATAGTGTTAAAATATACATTCAAAGACCTATTCATATTTCAGACTATTTTAAGAAACACTATAGAACTATATACAAAAGCTCATCACCTGAAATTATTTTAAATATACAAGGATGCAAGGACAAATGGGTAGGAATGGAAGGAGTTCCATTCCAACAGACTTCCATCCTCAGCAATTGAGTCTTTTCATAATAAGTGGTTCTTTTGTTTTAGAAAATGAAAGTGATTTTTCTGTCTTCTCATTCACCTGTACTGTATTGGCCTCAAAACATTCAATTAGCTACCAAAATGAGGATGGACACATTTTGAGAGTCAAGGAAACAGGAAAGCAATAGCAGTTATTATTGGCAGTAATAGTGGGGAAAATAACAAATGAACAAGAGCCACACTATATATTTATTTAAAACTCTAATGCTAAATAAATATATTTATTTATGTAGATAAATTCTTCATATATTATCTTAAACTGTTAGGTCACTAGGACAAATAACTAGGACAAAATCTCTTAAAGCAGTTGCATAATTTGTAAGTCACAGCTAGAAAGGTTACAGAAATAATCTATTAACAGCCTTTTTTATTTCTAACTAAGAGAAATTTCTAACTCAGAGAAATCTGGACACTTTCACTATCTTATTTGTCTTATACAAATAAATAGTGTGGAATTAGCTTTTAACAATTTCTTGGTTTAAAATTATTCAATAATATAAATGAAATTCCCACATATTAGAGAATTATTTAAGTAGTAAAAATAATCAAATGTAATTCAAGAAATATTTACCTGTTATAGACGTAAGGCCCATACAAGTGGCTGCTATTATCACTCCCAGGACTGCTGCAGTATCCTCCAATAATATGACATTTGTACTAGGATCACGACTTTCCATTACTTCATCATCAGTGTAGAGACAAGAAAGAAATGTTCTGAAATCTTAACTTTATACAATCAGGTAACAGTTTAAACAATATCTCTTTAAAATTAAGATATAAATTAAGATTTAAAAATGTATCCTCGTCTTAAAAATGTATTAAATGTCATAATTTAAAAATGTATCCTTATTTTAAAAACCCTGTTCAATTTCTTGATTTAAATATTAACAATAATTGATGTTTAAAGTCAAATTACTTTCTGAAGTTACATAAGCATATATAGAAATAATGTAGTTCACTTACATTAAATCCAGATATAAAAAGTATTCACATTCAATTACACTACATTTGCCTTTTTAAAAGAGCTGATGTAACTGTAAAAGCCACATTGGGAAGATACTAAAAAATATTTTGTACATATCTGTAAGGAACAAAGCAATAGTACTAGGCAATTTCAGGCAAATGAAGGAGATGAAATAATACACCTGGTTCCTAAAATACGTACCATACTTGTAAAATGACATTCCCTTCGCCCGAGCACTCCTACGAAGTTCATTTACAGCAACAAGAAGTGTTGCTGAAAGAAAAGCATTCATATCAGTAAGGAAGAAACTGCATTTCTCCAAACTTTAAAGATGGTATCTGAAAAGTTATATAGGTACAACACTTTAATGCCAAGGTTGTCAATAAGGAAAAGTTATGTACTACCTAATCATTATCAAGACCTCAATATATCATTATACAATAAATCCCATATATCTAAACCATAATAATTTAAATTTCATTACCACAACAACAACCTTAATTTCTTGGACAGATACTAGTTTTGGCAGACACCATACTAAGCACAATCACTTTTGACCTTCCAGCCTTTTGAGACAGGTGGTGTTATCACGATTTTACAGACTGTCAAAGATGAAGGAAACACTATACTCAGAAAATGACAGTTTTTCAGAAGTAAACACACTACAAATAGAGCATGAATTAGGCAGTTTCATACATATTAACACTTCTCTCATAATACTGCTATAGTGGAAACTTTCAGAAATTTTGAAATATTTGTATTGCAAAAAGAAACAGCTTTATCTGACTGATAGTACTAAATGGCCATTTAAAAAATTCAGTATATAGTTAGGTTTTTATACTCCACTTCAAATGTTCTGAGCATTATGACATGATACTCAAAACAAAAAATAGCTTTTGTACTTTTCCCTTGTCCTCATCCATTACAGGAACAACCATTGAATATTATACAAAGAATTTATCCCTTCAAGTAGACAAACCCTAAATTTCTATTTCCACAGTTTTTCTTTAATAAGCAGAATTTAGCAGTCTATGAAAATGGACTGAATATATATTACTAACTTAAGAATAAAGATACTCTTATTGTACATACCTCCTTCAGATACCAATGATCCTGCTAAAATACAATATGCCTAGAAAATAATTATGAAAATAAGGAATGAGTTAGTATTTCATTAAAGAATCAGAATGGTTCAGGAATAAAATTTATAATGTTTAAAATGAAACATAAATTCAAATCCTAGCCAGGTAAGAATCTTGATGGGAAATAGCTCAAATGAAAGAGTAATAGATGATATCTCCATAAAACCAAAAGTTAAAAATCTGATGACCATCTCTTTAGAAAAATTTTTTTAATTGAAATTATATACAGTATTATATTGGTTTAAGATGAACAACTTAGTGATTCATCAATTATATACATTATTAAATGCTCACCCTGTTACCATGTCAACAAAGACGTTATAACATGAGCTATAATCTCTATGGTATACTTCCATCCCTATGCTATATTTGCTTGAGTACACTAAATTATTTTATAATTTTGAAGTTTGAACCTCTTTATCCTCGTCACCTACTTTACCCGCGCACAACCATGATAAACAATCATCCACTCTCTGTGTTTATGAGTTTATTTCCATTTTGTTTGTCTTGTTTTTCAGATTCTACATTAACTGAAACCATACGGTATTCCTCTTTCCCTGACTGACTTATTTCACTTAACATAATGCCCTCTAAGTCCATCCAGGTTGTCACAAATGGCAAGATTTCATTCTTTCTTATGGCTGAATAATATTCCATTGTATATATATACGATGTCTTCTGGCCATCTCATTTTTTTAATACCTGAAAGAGTAATTTAGATACATACTGTGTAGAATTAGTTACTATGACCTAAGTTAAATGAATTATCTAAAAAATGGAAGAATTACTTAACTAGTATAAAAAAATTTTGAAGTTCAAAATGAACACAAACAATTGAAATCTGAGATTTTGAATATCAGACAGAGTAAAATCCACACTCATACATAAGTAACTTCTGGACATTGAAAACCCAGTACCAATCCTGATTCATAAAAATAAGTAGTTATAAACAGTAATCAATTTTTTTTTTTTTGGGTAACACCACTTTTCTTTCAGTAGTAGGACACTCCTGAATTAAATAAAGATACCAAGAAAATTTTTAATTCAAGGTATATGGAAAGAATTAACCTAGCAACACAAATTTTAAAAACACAAAATTTAAATGATATTCAAACCAAACATCTATAGAATATTTAACATTACCTTCTTGGAACCCTAGGCTTCCCTAAAATAGAAGCTTGAAAATTTTGAATCTAGTCCAACACTCATACAATTCTGTTAGGGAAATTTTGAGATCTCCCATGGCTATGTGATAGCAGAATTAGAACTAGAATACAGGCTTTCCAGTCTCAATTCTAGGCACTTTCCACTGAATCTTACTGCCAATCTGAAACATAATTAAAATAGTAGCTGCACTTCCCACAAATTCTTTTTAATACTTGTATCTCCTTCCTGAAAGGATTTAAGACACACTTATCACCCAATAAAGGGAGAAAGCATTTATCAGTGAAGGATTCCAAGATAATACTTAATAAACACAAGCTAGTCTATGGTATGTTGAATTACTTACTAACAAAGAGTAGTAGTCTAATGAAACCCCATTTATTATGAAAATATAAAAGAGCTTCTTAGAAGCTTCAAAACTTATACACAATCAAAATTTAATTACTCAATCCCAATTTCCACAGTCATTGACCTCTTTGCCTCTATAAAGTAATATTTTACAAATCAGATGAATGCTAGGAGAATGAGGTATCACAAAGTGGCCAAACCTTTTCAGAATATAAGAAATATGCTTGCTCATTTTAATTATATGAAATGTATTACGTTAAGAAATTAGTCAACAAAAACTGTAGGGAAAATCTGGTTAAACAGGCTTGTTACTGTTTAGGTATATAGGTGTAACAAGATATTAAAATGATATTAATTCTGGTTGGGAACAAAATAGGTTACAAGTACCCACCACATTCCAAAATGAGGTGCTATGTCATCTATTCAGGCCTTGCATAAAGGGCAGCCCAAGCCTGGTTTTCCAACTCCTAGCTCTACACCCACTGGCCCATAAGAAGAGCTGAGATTAATAAGGTTAAAAAGAGAAGATTTCTTTGCAGAAAGTTGTTGAGTTGTTGAGATTGCTCAGAGAGCTGGATTTGTGTCTCAAGATCGTGTGAACTGTGTCTAATGCACATCTGAAACATAAGTTTCTAGTCAAGGCTACTGATACTGGCTATTTCAGCAGAGTAGATGATTGTGTTAGGGGGAAAAAATTGCACTCTGAGAGAGAGTATGTTAAAGATGTCTGTTTAAACAACACACATAACCTAGATGTGGTTTTCTAAGTAGGAGTCTTTCGAAAAGTGATCAAGTGCTCAAGATGCCTTCTTGCCATGTGCAAGGCAACCTCAGCAGAAACAGTATGGAAATCACCCCATGAGATGCAGAAATTGAGAGGTATGCATCTCTCAATTTGTGTTTGTCAAGGGAACTACAGTCAGAACAGTCAAGTGGGGTAATTTCTAGGAAGTTCCCATGAGAAAAAGACAAGTTTAAGAATCTATAAATGCCAGAGGAAACCAGTGCAAAATGATGTTGGTGCCAGTAAAGTAGTACTTTTCTGTCTCCAAACCCTACCCTCAATGCTCAGAGGCAACCTAAAGGAGAAGAGAAGGGCAGGAGCACAATGTGGAAAGACAGAAGGTGGCCATGCTCCCATCCCCCAGTGTCCCCAGTGCAGCCTTCCTACCAAGTTGAGGGAAAAGAGCTTAACTTTAAATACAATTCCAATTTATGACAATTACATGGAACTGGAATCACTGATAGGAGATTATTCCTGGGAGTAAAAATGAACAGAAGTCTTCTTGTTCTTCAATAAGTAACTGGAGAAATGAATAGAACTGCTCAAGATTTTAATCAAGGAGGCAGTGCTTAACGATTGTACCAACAGAGATGCTCTTGTTCAACATCATTGATTCATATGGATTTAGAGAGGTCATGTCCAGTCATGTTCTGAAAAACACAACTACTGATAGATAACCCTATAATACAGTGAAGAAGGCATATGTTAGCTCCTTTAACATCAATATGACAAAGGCGTTCTACTGTACTTAATCACCACTTCATATTGCTTAAACTGAGAAAAAAAGATTACCCAGAGAAGAGATTCCATTGGTTGAGGATTAAGTAATCCCATGATTCCGTGGTACCAAGATAATCCTGCACCCATCATGAAGATACCAACACCACTAATTAGTGAAGCAATATAGCGCATATTTGAAAATCCATACCTGAAAAATGAGATAATGCAGTTTACAAGAGTTTCCTTTTAAAATATATGTTTATAGGTCAATGAAAAAGACAACAAAAACTTACAACATCAAGATGTTAGGGCTTTATATTTAAGTAAAATCTAAGTGCAAAACTAATATCTAATCAGAAAAATCAACATATAAAGTAGAAAAAAATTGTACAATGTTGGAAAGTATAATTTAATTCAGGTTATTTCCTAACCCCTTTTCTACACAGTGTTTCAATTTAGTCAAGGTATTTTACTATTATGTACCACAAATGCTGGTAAAATTAATCTTTTACAAACTGCATTCAGATGTTTAACAAAAAGGCTAACATTCAAATTTCCTTGTAATTCATAATTGAATATTTTGGTCTTCTTATACAGCCAATCAATGATTTATATGACCTATAATTTGATACTGGATACTTACTATTGATTCTGAATAGTTTGCCACCCGGCAACTACTATTATTAGAACTTCATTTTTTTGGGTCTTTTTTATAGAAACTCTTTTTAAATCTCAATTATCTTTCAAGAATCTTTGTTCAATATGTATATTATTTTGTATTATTGTGTGTACCAATAAAACTCTGAATATTAAAAAATTCAAGAACATGACATAGTAAGAGAAAAAGAATCACTCAGAAAATTTTATTTCCAGGGAAGTTTACTTTCAAGCCCAAATTTTATGGCATCCTTGTGGCAGATGCAAATTTAAACAAGAGGTCTTAATTAAAATTGCTTTCTGAATTCTTTTCACAAATATGTAAATGGCATAGGGAATTCTCAGATTATAGATGTGACAATGTTCTACCAGCCTGACTTAGAAAAATTTACTTTCTTCTTAAGTTTTCCTCCAAAGTAACAAAGGATATATATATTTAAATTCAAGTAAATTAAGACCTAAATTAAATGCCACTACTTTCATTTCATGTGTTTTCAAGGAATTTGTAAGTTCTTACTGAAATTTTTAGTTATGTAGATCTGCAGAGTCCAATAAAAGTCACTACCTACATAAGGCTATTTAAATTTAAACTAATTAAACTAAATTTTAAATACAGTTCTTCAACTTCACTAACCACATTTCAAGTGCTCAACAGCCACATGTTAATTAGTGACTATCATATTAGACAGACATAAAATATTTCTGTCATTGTAGAACATTCTGTTGGGCAGCACAAAGTATACTATTGACAATACTGTAAGAAGAAATCTTCACAGCCTAAAAATTTTAAATTCTACCCTATTTTTAAACTTTTGTTGTATAAAACTGTCAGGAAGAAATTTTTTTCTTATGATGGTAAAATAATATAATGACATGTAATTAACAGACTAGAAAGCTAGTTGTTCTGTACACTAGCTTATTGATAGCTCTAGGATATTCAAAACATTCCATTATTTATAAGAAAACATTAGTGTCTTGTGCATTTTTTTTGCCTTCAGATTGATCAAATTCTATTACTGAAGCTTGTTAAAAAAATACATGTGGAATTCAAAGTTTTAGCTGGTTATATTAGTAGAAGCAAACGAAAAACATTTCTGTCAGTATCAGTAACTGAGAGAGAAAACATTAGTATCAAATAACTGACATGATTTAAAATATATTCTAAAAAGCATGCTTATTTTACATATAAACAATTCTGAAATATTAACATAATACTATTTCAAAATCACAAGAGGATGATTAAAATATATTAAGATGGATTTAATATAAATTATCACTAAAAGTTTAGATTGAGTGGCCTATTAGCCTAAATATGGAATGTATGTTTCCTTTAACCAAATAAAACAGAACTCTAAAATCAAAACAGTGCTTTATTAATTATCAAATAGGAAGAGGACAAGTTATCTATGTTGTTACAAAACATAAAAATAATTTAAACTCCATTTTCAAATTATAGCTTGAATTTACTTTGATACAGTGGTCAGTCCTGCATTTTAGATACTACAGTGCCAAAAATGATCAAATCTAACACAAAACTCCAAGTATATAAACTGCATGAGATGTTTAAAATTTAGCTGCTTTTATTTCAGTAACTTGTTGCCACAACAAACAAAAACAAAATAAAAGTAATGTCCTTACGGATGAGTAGGATCTGGTGTCTGAACAGACTTACTGATACCCAATGCTAGCAAAGCCTATGGAAAAGAAAAAAAAGTAAAGAATCATTAGCAAAATGAGAAGTGGTAAAACCAGTCTGGAGGGTGCATTATGATAATGACAAACATTTAACATGTGCATATCCAATGGTCCTGAAATTCTGGTTTCCAGTAATTACCTTAGAGAAATAAAGATGAACCCAAAGAAGTTCAAAACAGCATCGCTTATGAAGATGAAAAAACGTGAAAGCAATCTAAAAATCCATAGATGTGGAATGGCAAAGTAACTGACCATATAGTCAAACCATAAATTACTTCTATAAAAGTTTAAAAGAATGGAGTTGGGATAGAGCTTTCCATATTCACATGATAAAGCCCTCTAAGTATACCATTAAGTGGAAGGGAAAAAAGCAAGTTTAGGGACAATTTGGACAGTACAGAAGAACTCAGGTAGTGTTTGTAAATTACATATAATGTAAAGCACAGGGAAAGGCCTAGAAGAACACATATTTTACTGTGTTTACACCTCTGAGGAGAGAAGTAGGATTAAGGTTGTCTGTAATATCTGATTTATTACAGAAAGCAGAACTTGTATAGCTGTACAAATAAAACTGAAAATTTTAAACAGTATATAATGCATATGGACAAATATGTCTCTGCTAAAACTTCAAAACCATGCACAATACACATCAACATATATAGAACAGTGATTATCTGGGATTTGGAAAACTGGAATAAAGATGGAGGACTAGTTATAACTAAGATTCTTTTTCTTTAAAAAATAAAAACCTTAAGTAAATATGGCAAAAATGCAAACAATTATTTAATCCTGGTAATAAACTTTTCCCTTCCTCCCCGATTTTCATCTTTTCTCCCTTTTTTTGATTTCTATTTGATATTTTTATTATATCTTTTGTTAAAGAGTTATTCACTGGAAACCCCTAATATTAGTAGTACATTTGCCCCTAGTAAGTCTTCTCTAATTCGATGTGAATTTAGAAATCTGAAAAAGATTATCTTATGAGAATTACTTAATAAAAATACAAAGCCTCTGAGTGAATATTCTATTTGATATTGTTTGTCTACTCTGAGGCATTTCCATTTTTTTCAATATGGTATTAAATATCAGGTAAAGCGTCAAGATAACCAAATTCTTCATAGATGAAATTTCTCTGTAGGTTATAGAACATTTAATAGAAACATTCTTTCTTGTAAAATATAGAGAGATTATACCATCTTGAAAATGGTAAAAACAAATATATACTGAATTTTTAAGTCTGGATATTGGATATTCTACCCTGAATAAAGAGAATACCACTAATTTTTTTACTGGATTCTAAAGAAAAAGAGCATTAGAACTACCTAAAATACAGATAATGGCTTTTCAGTGAACTAAACCAAAAGAATGAGAGTAAATTAATAGAACATATAATTCTTTTAAACTTGTACATTAATACTGAAATATTCATTATTAATTTACACTAAGTATATAGACACACACACACACACACGAGTATGTTTATAATGTTTACTAAATAGTCAATGAGTAGTCAATTATTTTTAAAATCCTTAATATTCAGGTTGGTTGTGCACTGAAGTGTGAGGAATCATCAAATATTTTATGATGTGAATATGGAGAACATTTATTAGTTTTTTAATAAAAACAAGATATCACAGCCAACAGGCACATGAAAAGATGCTCCACATCACTAATAAACAGAGAAATGCAAATTAAAACCACAATGACACATCACCTCACACCAGTTAGGATGGCCAACATCCAAAAGACAAACAACAAATGTTGGCGAGGCTGTGGAGAAAGGGGAACCCTCCTACACTGCTGGTGGGAATGTAAATTAGTTCAACCACTGTGGAAAGCAGTACGGACATTGCTCAAAAAACTAAAAATAGAAATACCATTTGACCCAGAAATTCCACTCCTAGGAATTTACCCTACTCCTAATTACTCCTAAGAATACAGGATCACAGATTCAGAAAGACATATGCACCGCTATGTTTATCGCAGAACTATTTACAATAGCCAAGAAATGGAAGCAACCTAAGTGTCCATCAGTAGAGGAATGGATAAAGAAGATGTGGTACATATACACAATGGAATATTATTCAGCCATAAGAAGAAAACAAATCCTACCATTTGCAACAGCATGGATGGAGCTAGAGGGGATTATGTTCAGTGAAATAAGCCAGGCAAGAAAGACAAGTACCAAATGATTTCAGTCATCTGTGGAATATAACAAAGCAAAAACTGAAGGAACAAAACAGCAGCAGACTCACAGAACCCAAGGATGGACTAAAAGTTACCAAAGGGAAAAGGACTGAGGAGGATGCGAGGGATAAGAGGATTAAAGGGTATTATGATTAGCACACATAATACAAGGGGGGCGGCATGGGGAAGGAAGTATAGCACAGAGAAGCTTACTATACTGACGGACAGTGACTGTAATGGGGAATATGGTGGTGACTTGATAATAGGGGGAATGTAGTAACCACAATTGTTGCTCATGTGAAATCTGAGAATAAGATTGTATATCAATGATACTTTAATAAAAAATAAATAAATAAGACATATCTAGGAATGCAGACCATTCCTAATCCTGTTCTCTCCAACCCAGAGGTAAGTAGGATAGCATGAGTTATGTCTGATATATGTATGTCCTTCCATACCTTTTTCTGCACAATCACAACATGTATGTTATACTTATCAGTTTGCTTATATGTCATACACATCATTTATGTATATAAAACCTACATCTGGCTGGTTTGCAACATAGTATTAACATCTAGTGGGTAAGTAGCATTATTAATGCTCCCCCCTACATGACCATCCTTCCCTTTTTTGATTTTCCTTTTGCATAGTGTCACGCACATGCTTAAATGATGCTTTTCAGTATCTTTCTAGTTGTTTTGTGTGTATGACCTTCTTACAAGAGATATAGCAAGGACTGTGTTCTTCTAAACACTTACTAACATTACAAACTCAGGTGCTCAATAAATTCTTATGAATATTAAATGATACATTGTGTGTTATTTAGCAGAGAAGTTTTTCAAAATTAACTGTGACAGAAATTGTAAAACTAAGTATCATTAGTTATAGGTCTAATTTAAAAGCTGGAAGTTTTTAGTCTCTCAAGAAGTAAAAACAAAAATACTATGGCATAAAAATATTAACAGTAGACTTTTTAAAAAATAGCTGTAAGTATGTACCTTCTGACCACCTTCACCCACTTTGCCCACTCCTCGGTCCCCCACCTCTGGCAGCCACCCATCTGTTTTCTCTATAAGTTTGGGATTTTGTGTTCTTTTTACATTCCATATGAGATCATATAGTATTTGTCTTTCTCTGACTATTTCATGTAGCCTAATGCCTTCACAGTCCATCCATGTTGTCATAAATGACAGAATTTCCTTTTTTATGGCTGAATACTATTACATTATGTATGTGTACACAGATTACACATACCACATTTCTTTACCCATTGACGGCCATTTATGTTGTTTCCCTGTCTTGGCTATTATAAATAATGCTGCAGTAAACATGGTATTGCAGGTATTTTTTCAAGTTAGTGTTGTCATTTCCTTTGAATAAAAATTCCAGAAGTGGAACTGTTGGATCATATGATCTAATTTTAATTTTTTGAGGAACCTCAATATTGCTTTCCATAGTGGCTGTACCAATTTACACTCCCACCAACAGTGCTGAAGAGTTCCCTTTTCTCTATATACTCCGCCAACACTTGTTACCTCTTCTTTTTGATGACAGCCATTGTAACAGGGATGAGGTGATATCTCATTGTGGTTTTGATTTGTATTTCCCTGATGATTAGTAATGCTGAACATCTTTCATTGCTTGTTGGCCATCTGTATGTCTTCTTTGGAAAAATGTGTAGTCAGGTCCTCTGCCCATTTTTTAAGTCAGTTTGTTTTTTTGCTTTTGAGTTGCATAGATTCTTTAGAATTAAGCTTTTTTAATGTTGTTTTAGGTCTAAAAAGAAACAGCTCAAGATGACATAAGAAATACAATTTCCATCTATTCAGTAAGGCCCAGTTGAAATCTTTATCATCAAAGGCTTTCTGACCAGTCTAAACAAGACAAAACACTAAGGAGCTCTCAAAGCATGTGATGTCATATGATCTCAGCTTTTATTACAATTCTATTGCTGTTCAATCTGTTACAAAAATTGTTTTTTCTAGTTGAAAAACTAATACATACTCATTATAAAGAAACCAAACAGTATAGGAGAGAGGCCACTTAAGAACTGGGAATATATTTCAGACTGTCTGTATGTACCTATTTGCAGTTTTTAGCATTGCTTTTGTGAATATGTCTGTGCCAGATTTCAGGGAGGGGTGTGTGTGTGCTTAAAAATGTGATCACAATCGACATAGTATCTTTTTGCATTTTTATGGAAATTCTTGTCCAACTTACAGATACATGGATAGATACAGGATATTTCAATAAACCTAACCATTCATTGCTCAGCTTCAACAATTACAAACACATAACCACATCTGTTTTATCTACTTCATAGCCACTCCCCCATGAATATTTTGAAGTAAATTCTAAGCATCATACCACTTTATCTTTAAATGTTTTGGATACATCTTAAAAAACTAAGCATTTTTAGAAAATAGTCACAAGACCATTATCATACTTTCAAAAAATAACACTAGTTCCTTATTATTTAGCATCTATTCAGTAATCACATTTCCACATATAGAACTTTTAAATTTTGAAATAAAATGCAGATCTTGAATGTAGTTTTCTTTTAGTACAAATCCACACCCTTGTAACATATATTCTTATCAAGATACAAACTTTCCATCATCTCAAAAAGTTCTCCAGTGCCCCTTTTCAATCAATCCTCCCCCATAGAAGCAATCATTTTTCTGAAAAATTTTTAACCAAATATTAAAGTTCTATTCTAGAACTTCGTATGAATGGAATCACACAATAAGCACTTTTGTGTTTATCTTTATTTATTCAGCATCTTATTGGAGATGCATATATGTTGTTTACT